CTACGTCGCGGACGCGCCGAGGCCCGCGCTCGAGGCGATGCTCGAAGGCGACGCCCTTGCTCAGAAGTGGAGCGGGGTGGAGAGCAACGTCAGCAAGCGTCAGATCTGGGCTCCCGACCCCGCGTCGCTCGAGGCGGTGCGCGACTACCCGAGCGTGAGGGGCACGCCGGCGGCGCCTCCCGACGGCAAGTACGCGGGCGGCACCCTGCGAGGCATCCGCGTGCTCGGGGCGTACCTCGGCGATGACGAATGGCGGAAGAAGGAGCTCGTGGCGAGAGTCGAGAGGGCGCTCAAGCCGCTAGAGGGCATCCTCAAGCTGCGCGACACGAAGGAGATCCACACGGCGCAGCAGGTGATGCAGGTCCTGCTGCGCTTCTGCAGCAACACGACGCTCACCTTCTTCCTTCGCGCCATGCCGCCGTCGGTCACCCTCCCGGCAGCGGAGAGGCACGACGAGCTGATTGACACGGCGCTATACAAGCTCGTCGGCGGGGCGCGGGTCGGCGCCGCCGGCACACGCTGGGAGCGCGCGCGCAAGCAGGCGCGCCTGCCCGTCAAGATGGGCGGCATGGGCCTCACCAGCGCCGTCGACATTCGCGAGCCGGCGTGGATTGGCACGTGGGCGCTCGTCGCTGGGCCCATGCGCCAGCTGCATGCTCCTTTCCGCGACCTTGACGTGAGCAAGGCGCCGGGCTCCGATTTCGACGAGCTGCGGGCGGCGCATGACAGGCTCAAGAAGGAGCACGGCGAGATCACGGCGACGTGGAAGGAGTGGGACGACAAGACGGAGGCGGAGTACTTTGACCTGGTCGGCGGCACGACGGGCAGGCCCCCGGAAGTCGAGGTGGAGCCGTGGGACGAGCCCGACGAGGGCGAGAAGCTGCGCGCCTCCGCGCGGCCGCCGGAGCCGGCTACGAGGGTGGCGCTCTCGCGCTTCCGTCCGCATACTCTCGTCCAGGCCAAGGAGCTGCTGCCCCTCGCCGAGTTCACGTCCAAGCACGAGTTCCTACACCAGGCGCAGCGGCGCTTCACGACGGTGGTCCACAACAGGAACTGGCGCGACCTCGCCCTCGAGCTAAGGCAGGAGGGCTCCAAGGGATCGCGGTCCGCTCCTCGCGGCAAGAAGGGCAAGGCGCAGGCCAAGGGCAGGGAGCGGGCGAGGCATGCGGCTTGGCGGGAGGCAGTCCGCTTCGTGGCGGTGAGCCAGGATGGCGCCGGCGCCTTCCTCAACGCCATCCCAATGCGGGATGACATGCGAATGGAGACTTGGGCGATGCGTCTTTCGGTGCAGCGCCGCCTGGGTCTCCCCCTCGACGTGGCCTGCCAGGCCGCGGCGGCGGGCAAGAAGACTCGGAATGGGAAGACCCACGACGAGTATGGCGACGCTGCTGTCAACGTACCGCAGCAGGGCCACAACACCAGACACAAGTACACGCTTCGACGCCTCATCCTCGCCCTACGCGCCGCGTGGGGCACCGCTGTGCGAATGGAGCCGAAAGCCCACCTCGGTCAGAGTTACAACAAACAACCCGACGTGGACGCGGACAACATTGGCTCGCACGGCACGCACTATTGCGGAGACGTCAAGGTCGTCTGTTCCCTCAGCAGCAGCGGGGAGCACGGTCGGAAGGGCGCTTTTGTCGCTTTCGGCAACACTGAATCATTCTACCGGAACATGGTCATGGGGCATGGGCCCTACTGCGAGGAGGGAGAGGGAGGTGGGGGGCAGGGAGAGGGGGGGGGAGAGGAGGAGGGGGGGGGGGAGGGGGAGGGGTACGGGGGGGGCGGCATGGAGGGGGAGAGGAAGAGCAAGGGCGAGAGAGGGCAAGGGACTGGGCGCTGGCATACCAGGGGGGGCAGGGTGGTGGGCGGCGACCGCCGCATACCGTCCTACGGCGGGGACTATCGCTACGCCAGGGAAGACAAGGGCGTCGAAGTGCAGCTGCTGCTGTTCGAATCGTTCGGCGGGTTCGGAAAGGGGGTCCGTGAGATCCTCCGGAGAGCGGCGGACGTGCTACAGAACAAGCTGACGCGGGCCCAGTACCTCGATGAGGTGACTTGGACCACCAAGAGCTGGCTGGGGCTGCAGAAGCAGCGCATCTCAGTCGTTCTTCACACGGCCATCGCAGAGCAGGTCGTGAATGAGCTTGCCTGTGGCGGGGGTGGGCGGGTGCACGGAGCTAAGTGCCTCGCCACCCTCGCAGGAGTCGCTTAGGCGGCTCCCGTGGTGTACCTGTGTTAGTGCCAGTGCGAGCCAGTCCCGTGCCCAGTCCTGTGCCCAGTGTTGTGCGAGGGAGTTTTGTTGTTAAATTCTTTTTCGGCGGCCGACGACAAGGGCCGGCCTGCACCAAGACGGTCCGTGCGGTGCAAGCGTCGTCAAGGAAACAATGGGTGGGAGGGCGAGTCGCGGAGAGGATTCCTCGCTCTCTCCCGACTCACGCTCCACAACAGCACGCCACACGACGTCCGACGCCCTCCTCGCGGGCGGATTCGGCGGCGCATGCCTTTGTGTCGTGGGCGCACCGTTCGATGTGGTCAAGGTGCGGCAGCAGCAGACGCGCAGCGACGGTGCAAGTCCTAGCCGCATTGTCCGCTCCATCCTGCGCGCCGAAGGCGTCGTCGGCCTCTGGCGTGGCGTCGGTCCTCCGTTGATGGTGGCGGTGCCGCAGTTTGCCTTGGTGTTTGGCTCACACGAGGCGGCGAGGGCCCTGATTTCGCGCCACTCGACCCGGCCTCCCGGCGACGGTAGAGACGCCGCTCTTGCGGGCGCCCTCGTCGCTGTGCCAACGACATTCGTCTACACGCCGGTAGATCGCGTGAAGCTGGCGATGCAGAGCGACGGGCGGCGCGTAGCCTCCGGGCTTCCGCCTCTGTACTCCTCAGCCTCGCAGTGCGCCCGCCAGCTCTGGCGCAGCGGCGGAGCTGCGAGCTTCTCACGGGGCTTCTTCGCTACCCTGGCGCCGGGACGTAGCCGCTGAGAAGCTAGCTTCTTCTCGCCGCCCCGTTTCCCTCTCCACGCTTTCCCTCTTCACGCCAGCAGGCGCGGGACGTGCCTGGGTGGGCGTCTTACTTCTATGTCTACTCGGCGGCCAAGCGTTGGCTGACCTCCGGCGGCGGTGTGCTCGATGGCACCGCCGAGCTTTCGCCCGTTGCGAGCCTCGCCGCCGGCCGGGAGGAGCCGAGAGCAGCCGAGAGGGGCCGGGAGGAGCCGAGAGCAGCCGAGAGGAGCCGGGAGGAGCCGAGAGCAGCCGAGAGGAGCCGGGAGGAGCCGAGAGGGGCCGAGAGGAGCCGAGAGCAGCCGAGAGGAGCCGGGAGGAGCCGAGAGGGGCCGAGAGGAGCCGAGAGGAGCCGAGAGGAGCCGAGAGGAGCCGAGAGGAGCCGAGAGGAGCCGAGAGGAGCCGAGAGCAGCCGAGAGCAGCCGAGAGGAGCCGAGAGGGGCCGAGAGGGGCCGAGAGCAGCCGAGAGGGGCCGAGAGGGGCCGAGAGGAGCCGAGAGGGGCCGGGAGGGGCCGAGAGGAGCCGAGAGGGGCCGGGAGGAGCCGAGAGCAGCCGAGAGGGGCCGAGAGGAGCCGAGAGGAGCCGAGAGGAGCCGAGAGGAGCCGAGAGGAGCCGAGAGCAGCCGAGAGGGGCCGAGAGGAGCCGGGAGGAGCCGAGAGGGGCCGGGAGGAGCAGAGAGGAGCAGAGAGGAGTCGAGAGGGGCCGAGAGGAGCCGAGAGGAATACGCTCGCCTCGCCCGGGGTGTGGCGTGAGCTGTGCCTCTTCACACGCTTCGCTGTGAATGTCGTGACTGGCCTCAGCCCCCCGGCCCATTCCCTCACCCCCCCCGCGCGCGGGGCTTCTAGGCCCGGGGGTAGTCTCTCCCCCCCCCCCCCCCCCTCCCCAGTGCCTCCAGGGCTCCCACCGCAACCTCTCACAGACTAGCGCGCAGCGCCAGCGGAGGCAGCTGCGTCTCAACCACAAGGCCCGTGGAGCAGGCGGCCTCGCCGGCGCGGCGACGTGGGCGACATGTCTGCCGCTGGACGCGGTCAAGACGCACTACCAGTCGGACGTGGTGGCGTTGCCCGAGATGTGCCGAGATCGCCCGAGATCGCCCGAGATCGCCCGAGATCGCCCGAGATCGCCCGAGATCGTGCGAGATCGCCCGAGATCGTGCGACCTCCCGAAAACTGCCCATGAGTGCGTAGAGCGGTCGAGGGGGCTGCTCTGACGACAGAGAGGGGGACAGACCGGGAGAGGGGCGCTCGCTCAGCAAGTCGCCTGTGAACGGCGCCTGCCCTCTCACCCTCTTTGGTGCGGCCAGGCGCACCGCACGTACCGGGGTGCTTGCCGCGCCATCTTTCGGGCCTCGGGCGTCGGAGGCCGAGATCAGCCGAGATTGGCCGAGATTGGCTGAGATGCTAGCCGTGGGCGGCGTGAGCGGCGCCTCTTCACACCTCTGGCTGTGAACTAGGCTTCTTCGCGGGCTTCTGGACGATGGTGCTCGGCGGTGTGCCGCGCGACGCGGCTTGCTTTGCGGGGACCGAGGCTGCCCAGCGAGCGCTAGCTCTTCGCCGCATGCCACAAGCAGCAAGCACAGCCGCTCGAATAGGATTTGAACCCCGCAACTCTTAGAACCTCTTTTGGGAATCGGTGGATTTAAAGAATTGACTGGTCTCTTTTTTCCACACAACGACCCAGTACCCGGCCGGGCAGGAAAAGGTGAGCCACGCACCCGGACAGGTGCCCCACACGGCATATTCAAAACAACCCCCCCCATACCCGGTCTTTACACAACTCCACCACAACGTGGACGGTGGAGATGTGACTCCCCAGGGGGCTGCGCCTATGACGTATGAGCTATGCACTGGGACGTACACACGTATCTCAGTATGCAGCTACTTCCTTCGCTATCTCACCAAACCATCTCTTTCTCTGTACTGCCATATGCGGCCATGCAATACTGCCTGTACACAGGCTGGCAACGACACGTACAGGCGCCCGCGCGCGACCTCCCACGGCTCATCACGCGCTTTGCAGGCAGGCCGCCATGCTGCGTGGGCCATGGGGCGCCGGCGCGACCACGCGAAGGGCGGCCCAGAGAAACGATCGTGGTGCCATCTGCAGCTCAACGCGCACGCTGTAGTCGGCGCGCACAGTATGCGTAGAGTTCTCGGGCACCTGCCACCGAGTGGGATTGACGAGGGAGCCGCCCCAGGCCAGCTCGACGGAGGCACCAGGGGCGACGCCCGCATAGTAGAGCGGCAGCTCCACAGTCCGTTTGATCGTCGCCTCGGTTGGGTTGAAGAGGTTGGCCATGGCTCGGGGCTCGTCAGGCTTGGCGGAGGCGTTGACGTGCACGATGACCTCGAGGCCGCGGCCTGACGGTCGGCTGACATGCACCATGTCCGCAGAGAGGATTCCACGGTACCTTTTGTAGTGCGCCACCCATAGCGTCCACATCCGCTTCACATCCGGGCTGGCGTCGTCGTACAGCTGCGGTCCGCGGTACGCGGCGATGTTACCTTGGCCGAGGAAGCTGGCCGCCGCTTCCTCCAGCGTGTGTAGGTGGCGGCTCAGTGGTGGCGGCGTGCGCGACATCTCAAAGGCCATCCACCCCATGGTCGTGGGCTTGTGCGTGGTCCCGTCGTACAGATACATGCGCGCGAGCTCAAGGTACTCTCGCGTGCCAGAGGGCGTCACGGGGATGCGATTCCATGCGTCGGTGTACCCCATCGGCTCCTTGTTGGTGCCGCCGCTACTCCAGTAAGGGTCGGGCACGGTGTTGAACGTGTTGAGCTCGCGCTTGAGCGTGCGGTAGAAGTCGACCGTCGCGCGATACTGCGCGAGCTGTGAGTTGTTGACGTGCGCAAAGCCAGACTGGTCTGTCTGCGCGCAGGTCGCCCCTTCGTACGGCCCATCCGTCTCGAGCAGGTCCATGGTCGTGGCGCGGAGGAAGTTGAGGATATTCGCGCGGTACGTGCTGTGGAAAGCCGTGGAAAAGTCGGCGATGCGGGCCGGCATCCCCGAAGGCGCCTTGGCCCCATCGGGGCTCTGGCAGTAGTCGTTGCCGCGCAGGTTGGGAGGGTTCTGCATCAGCGTGTACCCTCCGATCATGACGCCTTTGGATCGGCAGTAGAGCGTATCGTTCTTAACTTGGGCAATGTACGTCTGGTTGGTGGAGCTCGGGTCGAAGCCCGAGCCAAACGAGAGGAGGATGGCCTCGAAGCCAGTCGCGTGCGCCTGATCAGCGACGCGTCGGATGCCAGCTGACGACGCATCTGTCGAGTAGAAGTAGAGCGGGGTCTCGGTCACCTGCGGAAAGAGCGTGCGCACGACGCGCCGGCGGGAGAGCGACTGGCGCGGGAGGTCGTCGCTGTCGAAGAGGGTCAAGAAGACGGTGAAGAAGGACTGCGACTCGCCCGGTCGGATTGGCTGCCACGGGCCGAGCGGGTACTGCACCTGAAGGAGTAGGCCGTTGTTTGCGAGGTCCGCGTGCAGCGACTGGTCGTGGATGTCGCTCTCATAGTCTGGATCGATCCACCACGCCTAATTTATGATCAGCAAGTTATCCCCCGGTCGTGCGGTTGTACGGGTCCGAGAGCCCTCACCGGGTAGTTCATGCGATCGCCAGCGTACGAGCCGTTGCCGGGGTCGGAGGAGGGCTGCTGCGCGAAGCCCCAAAACGTCTTGCGTGGCATGTAGTCCGTCTCCACGTGCACGCGCCGCTTCCCATTCTCTGTCACGTGCAGCTCTTCCGTCACCACCCTCTCCACGAGCACCGACCCGCTGCTGCTGCTCGGCGGCGCGCGCACCTCCACTCGCTTGGCCAGGGTGGGTACGTTGTCGTACCTGTTCACGGTAGCCCGTGTGAAGAGAGGCTCCCTGCAATTAATTAATAATAATGTATAATCATACATTTCGTAGACGATCGATACACGCAGGTTGCATCCACAGCCACAGCGGGTCGGAGGCTTGAAATCCACGCGCAGCTCCACACCGCGAGGCGGCCACGCCGCCATCACAGAGTGGCGCTGGCCCGGAGTCCACGCCCAGCGCGCCTTGATGGGGGCCACCTGATGCGACTGGTAGCTCCAGTCGTCAGATCCGGCAGTAAGATTCCACGCGTCCATATCGAGCATCGCGTAACGCCGCTGCCCGCGGAGCCCACCCACTGCGCGCCCCGCTGATCCGGTGCTGCCGCCGCTCTCATTCCGGTCTGTCAGACCCTCGAGTGCATCGGGTGCGTAGGGAAGGAGCCGCCGACCCGCGTTCTTTGGGTCGTGATCCGGGCAGCTCAGCTTGAGCCGCGCTTCCGGCGCGAGACCACGGAGAGCCTCCGTTGGGCCTCCCACCACGGGGACCTCACTCTGCAGGGAGACCGTCGCCCAATTGGGCGTGACGACGAACCGTCGGCTGATGAGGCCATTGCTCAGAAGCAGGGTCCCGTCCGGCTGCTTTGTCAATGTGGACGCAGCCGGCGGTCGGCTCACCAGCCAGTCCTCCTCTGGTATCATGCCTCTTGCGGGACAGGTTAGCAGTAGCAGCGCGAGCAGCTTCATGTGTGTGTCGTCGGATACAAAATGGAGCTCGGCTAGGGTTGCGCAGCTATGAACAGGAGCGAGTTCGCGCTGCGCTAGGCTCAAACGGCGAGGAGTTCGCGCTGGATTCGAGGTTTCTGGGGGGTAGGGTATGGTGATCCCGGCCCTGGCGCCGCGACCATACCCCCCCACCCGCACAGGACGTCGCCTCTGGCCAGCAGGACCATACCCCCCCACCCCCCACCCCACCACACGAGCGTACAGTAACCGTCGTGTTAGGCCGTCCGGTCGTGCGGCACGGGTTCGCGCGATGCAGTCTGCGCGAGGTGACCCGCCGGCAATCGTGCTTACCCCTCAGAGCGTGTCCGCAAAGGCCGCCAGGGCCTTGCGTGCCGGCGCAGGCGCGGGCGCAGGCGCGGGCGCGGCCGGTGCGAGCGCGGCGTGTACTGTTGTAACGTGGGCGGTACGGCGGCTCCAGCGATTGACCATACCCCCCCCCCCACCCGTCGAGCAGGCCGCCTCCGGCGGCCAGGACCATACCCCCCCACCCTTTTGGCCGGGACCCCACCATACCTTACCCCGTAAAAAGGTCGAATCCTGTGCGGCCTGACTCTCTCTAAAAAAAATCCTGAGGGCGCCAACCCATGGCGGCGGCATTTCCAGCCCAAATTGGGCGTTCCGTGCGCCTTGCCGGCGAGAACGGACGGGCTGTGCATCGTTGGGGGGGTGAGTGGGAGGGAGGTGGCCGTGAGCCTACTTTGTCGGCCGCGCACGAGGAGAATACTGTGCGTGCGGCGCGCAGGAGGCGAGGGTGGGCGCGCCGGCGGTCGAGCCACCGAACAATTCGACGTGGCGCAGCTCCGCGCCGGCGGGGACGACCGAGCACATGATGTCGGCGGCGGTCACGCGACGAGGGAGAGCCGCAGGAGCCCTCTGTGGAGCAGGCGCCCAAAAGCGGCGATGAGCGGCGCCGCGATCAGCCACCTGTGGGCGGTCACCGGGGTGGCGCCAAGCCTCAGCGAGCTGGATCCGGGAAGGGCAAGGGGTCGCGCGGGCCCTGTCTGCAGCAGCAGTGCTAACTAACACGACAAAATTCCGGATGGACCGGAGAGTGTCTACTCTTTCGACGCATCGTGGTCCTCGACCCCGCCGAAAAGCTGGCTGGTGGTCGCGCGCGGCGCGTCGGCGTGGCTATAAGCCGGATGAAGGTTCTGCCCCACACAGCCCCTTACCCCTTCACCCTCGCCTCGCTGCTTGGTGTTTCTGAACACGTAGACGACCACGCTGTGGGGGTTGTGTGCGGGTTGTGTCTGGGAGGGAGGGAGTGGGGTGCACAGGCTGCTCTATCCCAATCCGCGCAGACCGCACCCACGGCCACCGGGCCGGTGCTTGCACTTTGAATGCCGTAGGGCTCCTGCCCGTGTCCCGGGCGTGGAGATGCGAGGGTCGCCCCCCCTTGCCCCACCACTTTGTGTGTGTGGAGACGTTTACCTTACCTTACCTTAGAGGGCGTCTCAGCCGCCCCGCCTGACACTGCACTTCATGCCGTGCAGGCACATGCGGCCCCCTCCACCATCCTCGCCCAGGGATCTACAATGCTGTCCTAAGGTCCGATCTGTGGGCTCTGCCTGCGCTCGGCACCGGGCACCGCCTCGGTCTACAAAATGCGCCTGCGGGCGGACCCTTACAGATCACAGAGCTCACAGATCATGGCACATGGCGGTCCACGGCAGAGTACACAACGAGGCTCCGCTCGCGCCTCTCTCTACAGCGCGGTTGCGGCGCCGCTGCCAACCTTGCCCCCTCTCCGCCGCGCCCGCTGCACCCACCACACGAGGAGCGCCGCAAACGCGAGCAGGAAGAGGGTCGCAAACAGCAGCAGCGGCCAAAGGTCCCAGCGGTTATTCTCGCCGAGCACGCCCGCAGTGTAGCCGACGGCAAAGAGCTCCATGACGAGTCCAAGCGCGGCGAGAGCGACCATTATGCGGGTCAAGCCGTCGCCGCCGCCGTGGCGTCTCGCCTGCCAGATCGCCACTCCGTGGCTGCACAAGCAGCAGACTGCGACTCCACCAAGGACAAAGCCGAGCAGTCCGACGCGCAGGACGTCACACCCGCTGCCGACGCAGAGAGCAGCCGCGGGAGGGAGCCCCAGGAGAGCTATCGTAGGAGAGGGTATACGTCGAGCGGGCATCCAGAGTGCGGGCCCGGCGGGGACGCCGCGGGCTGAGAATTGGAAAAAGAATTTCACAAAGCTTTTTCTTTCTTTTTGCTTCGCCAAAAATTCTTTCCGGGAAACGACATTGCCGCGCGCGCGGCGATAAGACCGAATGAGTGTGTATATGTCAGTGCGAGCCTTCACCCGCATCGCCGCGGGCGGCGGCGGCTTGCTCGCGGCCGGCTTCGTCGACAGGGCGCTCACGCCGCAGACGCGACCACTCTCGACCGCTGCTGCCGCCGCCGGGACGCTAGGCCACATTCGGCTCTACCAGTACCAGGTCGCGCTCGCGGAAGAGCGCAGCCGTCCGCGCCTGCCCTCCCGCGCCTGAGCTCCGCCATCTGCCCACCCGCGCCGCCAGATCTGCCCGTTCTGCAACAAGATCAAGGCGCTGCTGGACCTGCACGGCCTCGAGTACGAGACGGTGGACGTGAACCCGCTCACCAAGAAGGAGATCAAGCCGTGGCGCCGCCGCCGCCGCCGCCGTGCCGCAAAGCCGCCTCACGCCACGCCGGAAGAACCGACCCGCCCTTTAGGTCGGAGTACCGGAAGGTGCCCATCGCGGTGCTCACACCGCTGGCGGGCGGCGAGCCGGAGCAGATCAACGACTCTCCCGTCATCGCAGAACGGCACGTTCCGAGACGTTTCCTGCCACGACACGGCTGCGCACTGCGTTCCGCTCAGCCCTAGCGGGCCCGCGGCTCGCCGACTCTGGAGCCGCTCCACACGTCCACGCGCATCACGCACACGACACGCCCACGACACGCCCACGACACGCCCACGACACGCCCGCGACACGTCCGCGACATGTCCGCGACATGTCCGCAAAAGGCTGCTTGACGCGATCGACGCGGCTGCGCTCCGGCCGGCGCGGGCGGCGACGCCTAGACGCGGAAACTACCAGGAAACTACGCATTCTCGTCTTCCAACCAGCGCTCTCAAGCGGACATGTCTTCAGTCGCATTCGGCCGTGTTCGGCTGTCCTCACTGTATTCGCAGCGCACTGCACAAGACCGCGGCTTCCCGCCCTGAGGCGGGTGCATTGGGCACGTAGGCTGGCACGCCGCACAGTTGCTACCACACCACCCATGGGACCGAACCCACACTGGATTCGAGACTGTGGAGGGATGGTGCACGTAGGCTGCGAAGGCCTTCCGCTCGCCACAGGCGATGGCGTAGGAAGTGACATCGGGCGGGGGCACGCACGCGCATCACGCCCAGGGCGAGGGACTTGCGCACAGTCCAGCACACTCTGGCGAGGGACTTCAGCACACTCCGGGCGAAGCCCTTCAGCACATGCGCATGTTCATGTGCATGTAGACATGTCCATGCGCATGTCATGTTCATGCGCATGCACATGCACATGTCGTGTGCATGTGCATGTGCATGTGCATGTGACACAGCCAGAGTGCGAGTGCGTCGCACTGACATCCGACGGCTGCATCCATCCAACGGGCACTATTTACGACCGACGCACGCCCCTTTGATATGTGGCGAGATGTGGCGAGATATGGCGAGATACGGGGAGGTATGACTGCGGCCGACACCCGCCCCGGATCTGCTAAAGGCGATGGAGTGGGCGCAGTGGAGCGACGCGAAGCTCGCCGTCCTCCTCTTCCCAAACATCACCCGCAGCTTTGGAGAGGCGCGCGCCGATGCTCTAGTGCCGGCGCCAGAGGCGGGAGATACGGGCAAAGGGAAAGGCTCTCCGAGACGGCGCGACGGCTCGGCTGTTCACGGCAGGGTGGGCAGGACAGGGCGGTGTGGGTTCATGGCAGGGGAAGGTAGGGGGCGGTACCGCAGTACCCTTGTCTCCCCACATCTCCCCACATCTCCCCACATCTCCCCATATCTCCCCATACCTCCCCACACCTCCCCACATCTCCCCACATCTCCCCATATCTCCCCACATCTCCCCACATCTCCCCACATCTCCCCACATCTCCCCACATCTCCCCATACCTCCCCACATCTCCCCGCATCTCCCCGCATCTCCCCACATCTCCCCACATCTCCCCACATCTTCCCACATCTCCCCACATCTCCCCACATCTCCCCATATCTCCCCACATCTCCCCACACCTCGGGCGCTAGAAGCGGAGAAGACCCATTCTCTTGTCTCCCAGCCAGCGCTCGGGCAGGAGGCGTCTCCCGCTGCCCTCCGCCGTATCCGCCCCCCCCTCGTACTCCACGCCGGTGCTCTGAAGCCGCTTCACAACACCGTCCTCCCCGCCCCTCATGCCGGCGCCCTCACGCAAAAGCACAAGGCCGGGGCGCAAGACGCGCCCGCACAGACCGTCGAGAAGGGGGGGAGACAGCGGCGACAGTCAGAAGGCAGCACTGCGTCCCAGGACGGCGAATGCGATACTGTTAGGCGTACCAGGCGTTCGGGTATGTGCAGGACGTACCTCACTTCTCGACGGCCAGCCGCCGTAGATGCTAGGGGACAGTAGAGAGCCCCCCATATCTCCCCACATCTCCCCGCATCTCCCCGCATCTCCCCACATCTCCCCGCATCTCCCCACATCTCCCCACATCTCCCCACATCTCCCCATATCTCCCCAGATCTCCCCAGATCTCCCCATATCTCCCTGCAGGCCGACCGCCTCTCGAACCAAGTCGTCGGCGCGTCGGATGGCATGCCTCCGCAGATCTCCCCCGATCTCGCCAGATCTCCCCCCGCCTCTCCCTCCAGGCGCGTTCGCGATGTGGATGGCGCAAGGCAAGATCAAGAAGAAGTATGCCATCGACGACGAGCGGCAGGCGCTGCGCGGCGCGATACGCACCTGGGTCGGCGAGGGCCTCG